AGAGAAAGGCCCCGGAATGACCCGCATTCCGGTTATATAGTCGCACAAAGGTAGTGCTGTAGTGCTGCCAGCCAGGCATGGCTGGTGACTAGTCGATCGATCAAGGCATGATAAGCGCAATCAATCATGCAGTTGTGAGTAGAATGAAGTAGCGAGAGTGTAAGACTCAGTTGCTGTCTCGCAGCTGGCACAGCAGGGTGCCGCCTGCTGCTGCCGCTGCTGCAATCCTCCCCCTCATCTGAAAGCTGTGCCCTCACAGCTTGAGCTCATGCCGCAGCTTCTGCCGCAGTCTCTGGGTGCTGCTAGTTGCCGCCTCAGGCCGCGTCCTCCGTGGCGTCGGATGCGTCGCCGGTGGGCGCGCCGCTGCCGGTGGCGGTGGCGTCGGCGGTGAGGCGCTGCCGCTTGGAGGCAGGTGCTCGTGCGGTGCTGCCCCGTAGGAATTCAAGCAGCACAATCCGCTCGCGCTGTTCAGCAATCACAGCTTCCTGAGCTGCAATGATGGCCGCGACCCATTTGTGTGACAAGAAGTCGATCATACGTCATAGTCGCGACGCCACGCTGGCGTGCGCCGCTGGCGTGTGCTGGTCCGAGCAGCAGGTGCTCGCGCAGGCTGTTCGTGCTGTGTAGATGTTGGTGAAGTCATGTGGGTGTCTTTGTTGTCCGCCGTGCGCTGTGCAGTGGTGCTTGCTGCAGGCGCTGGCTTGGTCTGGTCTAGCTCTTGCTTCATTTTGCGAACATCGGAACCTAGAAAATGTTCGGCCGGCTCCCAAGTCGCCTCGCTGAGTGGGTAACCTTGCCAGAGGACTAAGTACTGCGCCAGCTGCCGCCCGCCCTCAGTGATGGTGCGCTTGCGTAGCAGCCTGTCTACCAGGTAGACATCATCATTGATAATTGGGGGCGGTCGCAGCTGAGTCTCTTGCCGCTCTGGTGTTGTCTCGTCGTGGAAGTACGGCTTGAGTAGTGATATGTGGAAGACAGGGTGGATTTTCATTGTGGCAGGCAGGTCGAGACGGTAAGCTACAGCCCCGACTCGCTCCAGGATGGTGAAGGGTCCTGTCCACTTGACATTGAACTTGGATGCAGGCCCGTCGCTGCGCAGCCGGAGGTTGGCAGTGGACAGAAGCA